TATATTATTTCTTTTTGCTGTAAAAAAATGCAACAAGGCAAGTATAAGGGGAGGGTGGGGGTAAGGTGGGAAGTTACATTTTCAATTCCAATTTCTCAAGTTGGGAAGAACACATACTCAAACTCGTACTCGATTTAAGCAAATTTTCTCTATCAAAATTAGGTCAGGTTGGATGAGTACATGCGAGTGTGAGTTTAGTTGTCATATCTAGTATAAATAATAAGAAATATTCTTATATAAGATGAGATAATATTTTATTTTTATAACTTAGGTTAGATGTGACTTAAAAATTGAGATCAATAAAGTTTGTGAACAATTTACAACAGTTATCAAAATCGTTTGAATTTCTCTAAATCACACTTGCTTGATATTGGAATGCAACTTGTCCTCGATGGATTCAAGATTTAGGTCGTCGAATTAAGCTAAGAACTTTATTATGACACTAGGAGGACAAACACTTTGAAGAAAAAAGAAGAATTAATCATGTTTACTTTTGAACAAAACAAAAAACTCATAAGGTAGTAAGGAGAGTGGAAATCAGAGAAGAATGAATGATATTAAGAGTTACAACCGTTAAATCAAAATAATATTAATAATTGTTGACACATGACTCTTCCGTATACGAACAAAAACAATGCCTCATTTTTTAAAGAAGAAAGTGAAAAGGCACAAACCCTTTATGATGAAATGTTCCAACGTCAACATTGTCAAGCATATTAATGAGGCATAATGTTTGCTAAGGAAAATTAAAGAGTCACGTAATTAGGCTTTCTTTGATTTTATTATGAATAATAAAATATTGAAAGCCTAGGGGCATGTATGTTGGTAGAATTTAGCCAGGGATAATCGAAGACTCCTTGGGTTCTTGGCAAATTCCACCTAAATAAGTAAGTTGAAGAAATGACAAAATGACATATTAAAGATAATTGGGTGTCCATTGGGCCTATATGCCTATCGTATAAGCCTAGGTCTAATAAAAATTTTAGTACAAATAATAGTGCATTAATATGAAAAGATACTTTTAGATCACATTTATTACAACATTAATTGTGTTACTAACTGAGATTGAATGTTTACTTGAACATTATAATGACTTTTACAATTACACTTTTTTCCCTTCTTAAATAGGTCTAACCGAAGACATTTACCTCCCTCAAACAGGTAAGTTTGAGGGCAACAAGACGATAATTGAAAGGTTGAAGACTTGAAGAACGAAAATTAGGGATTTTATATGAATAAGGTTAAAATTACCATTGTATAAGTACACAACCCTTAAATGACATTGACAACAACTTTATGAAAAAAAAAACAAGACTTTCTCTTTTTTAATTGATTACATAAAAGGAAAAAGAATGAGAATTTTTTATATCAATAATATAAGAAAAAATATATATTGTGAAGAGGTCTTTAATGTTCACTAATAAAAGGAGAAATTTTTGACTAAATGATCGCAATAAAAAAAAAACATGGCATTTTTTTTGTAAAATGTTTAATTATTCAATAAGAACGTGTTGAAAATAATTTTTTTAATTATATATTAGGTAACTATGATCCAACAAATACAATGTTGTAGGTCTCATGTTGTGTCGTGATTCTACATTTCCATTTCCTAGCTAGCTTGGTCGTTTTAAATTTTTAACTAAACAACAACTTTTGACCTTAGAAAATCAATTGCTCTACGTTTTCACTCTCGATGAGATGTAGGTTTGTTTTGCATTCCTAACATAGGCATAAAGTTGGGAGATGTTTATTCATTTTATTGTCAAGAGTGAAGAATGAAGACCCATGAAGGCATTAAGTAAAAACGTGCATAGATTTCATTCTTTTTATATATTTGCATGTTTTGAGTCGTATTAGTTTTGTCTTCTTTTTTTTCTCTCACCAATTCACTTTTCCCTTTGTATGTTAGTTAGTTTTAAGCCTCAAAATTAAGTTAAATTTGTTAAAAAAAATGTTTGTCTAGTCATGCTCATAGGGAAAAGGCCAAAACAATTGCCTCAATCACCTGCGATGCGATTGTCACGGTAGTCTCAGAAAAATAATTGCTCATAATTTTTTTTAAAGACCAAAAGTATTTTTTTACTAAAGACCTATCGTATAGAATTATTATAAGTACTAGTAGAAATAAAGATATTATGTATTGCGTATCTTCATTAAAAAAAGAGAAAATAAAAAAATATTTTTTTTTTATAATTTATACGATTATTATATTTATTTTAGTTATTAAAGATAAAATGAGAAAGAAAAAAGTCAACATCAAATAAAACAATATTTTTTATTGTTAGTATAAATAAAAAATATTTTAACAAATGTTTAACGTGAAATTATTAATCAAGATGAAATAATCTTTTGTTGATCAATTCGTGTTTAGTGATATAAAAAATAATTTATTAACACAGTGATTTTACTGGTACATGAGAGTCTCACTTAAATAATATTTTAATTTCTCTTTTCATATATTTGTTTAGTGATGCTATGGGCCTTAAATGGAAAAATTAGTTACATCTTTGTAGCTATGTAACTTATCATGTGTCAAAAATATAATGCAAGTAGATAAAATTCATTTATGATATGTTTAGATGGATTTTTTTTTCAAAAAAAAAATGAAAAATTTAAAAAAATTTAAATTTTTTGAAATTTTAATTAATTTTATTTAGAATTTTATCATTTTTTAAGTTTTAAATTTTTAGTTTGAATGTAGTAATTTGATTTTTACTATAGTAAAATTGATTATATATATATATATTGAGATTTTAAGATTAATTTTATAAAAATTAAATATTAGCCAATTTTAAATATTTAATAATTTAAAATTAATATTAGATAATATTTAATAAATTTTTTTAAATATTCAATAATTAAAAAATTATTGACATTTTTTATGTTTACTTTAAAAAAATGTGGGGGTGGAGGAGAGAAAAAAGAGAAAAATGAGAAAAGACAAAATAGAAAGAGGGAGAGATATAGAGAGAGAGAGAGGAGAGCTTTGGGATTTGATTTATTATGTTATGTTGAATGCTGACTATTATTGTTTGAATTCGTCACTTGCATAACTGAGTTGATGAATATTGTAATTAAGTATTGTTAAGAGGTGTTATGGAAAATGGAATTTCTTTAATAGATTGGTGAATTTGGTGTTTGATAGTTGCATGTTGTATCTTGAGTTGGCTTGGTGTTGTTTATGGGGTGTGTGTGTATCTATATATTGTATATTGTGGTGTTAAACCATCAAAATGTTGCATATTAACCTAATATTTATTGTTGTTTTGCCTTAATTTAATATTAAGTTTTTGATAATACTTTATTTTTTAATTTTATTGAGTGTGCAACAATTAGGAAAAATAAGAAAAAGAATAAAATTGGTGCAATTAAGGGATAACATGGAGTAATTATAGAAGGCTAAAGATATGCACGATCTTGCTTGACCTGTGCATGATCGTGCTTAAAGACAAGCATGTCGTTATGCACGACCGTGTTTACCAATATGCACGGTCATACTTCCTTAAAAATGTCAAGCATGCCTTGGTCACTCCTAATCACATTTGTGCTCCGTGAAGAAAGCCCAAACCTAGGATATTAAGCACGATTGTGCTTCGAGAGTCAAACCTAATTTTGAGTATAAATAGGCATGTCCAAAATACATTGGGATCATCCAATTTTTATATAGTTTTCTACAATTCTTAGTTTTAGTTTCTCTTATAATTTCTTTTATCTTTTATTTATTATTGAGGTTCTATAAGAGGCTAAAGGCCAAACTCTCGGAGAAAGATTCTTTCTATCATGTTTAATTCTTTTCCTTTGTTTTATGGGTTCTAATAGCATGTGCGACTAGTTCTTTCATTATAGGGTTGTGATGTATTTATTCCTTGAGAACTCCTAATGATGAATTTATGAATTTCTTCTTGTTAATTATCATATTATTTTAATATTTTTCATTCTTATGTTAGTTAATTGAAAGTTACATGATCAAATTCTTTTAATTAAAAAAACCTTAAAATAATTGAATTATTGAAAAATTTGCATGATCAAGTTGTTTTCATAATTTTCAATTGAGTTAATTTATTAATTCGATTTTGTGTGCACATGCTTTATTTTTTGAATAAAACTTTTATGACCAATTTGAGTTTTTTTAAGATAAAGACTTAGCTTCCTGAAATCATAGGGTTGTTAGTAATTTCATAAATATAATTGGTGACATTCCTTATTAATTTATGAATTTATCTTTTGAGGATCAGGAACAATAAATCACAACTCTAGGATTTTTATCACTGAATTTCATTAACAATTTTATAGTTCCGCATTAATTTATAAATTATTACTTTCTTGATCAAATTTTGTTATTTGCAAACTGCTAAAAGTCAAAATTAAGTTGGTAATTACTTGAACCCAATCCTTTGAGTTCGATATTTGAACTTTGTCCATTGTTACTATTATGATAAGATATGTTTGCCTTAAGCGCATTACACACATAGCATGTTGGTTAGTTAGGTTTTGAGCCATTTGGTGATTCTGTTATGTGTAGAAAGGAGCATCATATTGGGCATAAAATTGGTAGCACTAAGCGTGGGACAGTAAGGAGCCCTTTGACTTAGTCATGTTGGGTGGGGAATGAGTGGTGCCAAGTGTGAAAACTTGAGAATTGTCTGACTTATTGATACTGAGTCCCAAAGGTGTGGCACTAAGCCTGATCAAGCCGGTGGATCTCTACCTAAATGATGTCGAGCGTAGATCGAGTAACACCGAGCATGAGTTAGGTAGAGACATAGAGGTCGAATATGTGTTTTTCCATGTCAAGCACAAAGGACTCAGGTTCTCTACTTCATCCACGTCGAGCACAAGAAACCTCTTTGTCTCAATAGCGTTGGGCACGTAAAGGATACTGTTAGTTGTGGGGTGTTTGATAAAACTGTTGTTTCAAGTTGTTTAATGTAGAAGTATGATGAATTATCGTTATAAATGGTGATGTATGATGATGTTTAAAGTTGTCTATGATGAAAATTGATGAAGTTTATTGAGTTATAAGATGTATGATGTTTTAAGTTGTATGTTGATAGATGATAAAGTTGAAAAGTTATATGATGTTATAGTTGATTTAGTTGTTAAATCGTTAGGCATGTAGAGTAAATATATGTCTTTGCTAAGATACACAAAAACTATAAGAGAATAACGGATGTTTTTAGAAATTAAAATATTTCATTATGTGAATTTACATGAGCGCTTATGAGGTGAAGGTGTCTCGTAAAAGAGGCAGCGAAATTTATTAAAAATAATAATATATTATTATGGAATATAATTTATAATTAAATTTAAGTATTTAAAATTTTATTTTATACAATTATTATTTTTTTCAATTATGCAAGTAGCCTTTGTCATAAAAAAAATAGTAATTAGAATTTTATTGAACCCTAATTGAACCTAGAAGTTGTGAAGATTTTGAATGTAATGGTGGTTCGTGGCCTCAAGGTCGAGCATTTCCCAATATTGCGTCTTTGGTGGGAGCAATCTTCAGTTAAGGTTTTAATCTTGTGGAGAACAACGTAAATTTTCTGGAGGCAGAGAAAAAGAGAGTAAGGAAAATGGACTTAGAATTCCAAACGCGAATTAAGTCCTTGAAAACGACATGGAGGATGTTTATTGTGAAGAACATATCTGATGCATGGATTGAAGCAGGGAATGAAGGAGGCTAAGGTTGTTTAACCTAGTAAACGACCGCCCCGAGGGTTGTCGTTTACGGGTTGGGAACATTTCAGGATAAATCACCATGTTTTGTTTGTTTGAACGTTAACAACAATGCACATAATATTTTTATGTACTTTTCACATAAAATTTATGCTAGTTGTAGACTGAAGCCCACAACTTAAAGTGTTGGACACTCAACCAAGAAAAATTTCCTTTATTTTGTCCATTATGAAACTTCTGAGCATTCATTTTCTCATATTTATAAATAAAATAACAAGAACAAGAACAATCCTGAATAAAAATAAAATATAAACCATCCAAAGAATTGTTATCATATGGGACACACAAAAGTTACAACCCTGTACCTGTGGTCAAAAGATACAGAGAATCACTGAATAATAAATAACACCAAACCAAAGAAACAATAATTGAGGGTCTTCGTGAATTGTTTCCTAAGATAAAAAAATAATCGATTGCTTCTATTGTTGGCATGTGCAATGCTGATATGGTGCAGAGCGTGTGCACTTGCTTGGACGGTTTGCAATAACAAATATTAACAATCCAAATAAATTCTCTTTAACATGAACGTGTGTGTCCATGCACGTGGCACTTCCATGTGAAGACAGATCCTTCTTCTACCAGATACTACAGTAGTATTTATGATGGGTACCATCGAAACTATAAGAAAGTTAATTGTTGCTCATGTGTTTTTGCCTCGGTATTAGTTTTTCTCTTCAACGGCTCTTGGTAATGCACAACTAGTGTTAGCTCAAACTTTTAGTTGAAGTTCTGACACCTATTTTATTACACAATTCATCTTCATTTTTTAATTCAAATTTAAGGTTCTATATGCTTAAAGGTGTAAAGATAGTTATCCTTACAGTGATAGTAGTATTTATGATGGGTACTCTCGAAACTATAAGATAGTATAAAAGGGATAAAAGTAAAAAAAAAAAAAAAAAAAAAAAAAAGCAAGTCATGATAAGTGATATAATGTGATTGAAATTTTGAAAGAAATAACAAGTGCTAGTTTAAGCGTTTGATAAAATGGAATAATAAAAAATAGACTTAATTGTGATTTTAATTTTTTTAAGATTATAATTATACAATCTTGGTTATTAAGATTTTAATTGAACAGTTTTAACCTATTAAGTATCACAATTTTATTATTTTAATTTTTCAAATATTATAATTATATAATTTTTAACCTATTATATAATTACAATAATTAAGAGACTAAAATTACACAATTATAATATTTAAGAGATAAAAATTGTTCAATTAAAAATTAAAAGATCAAAATTACATAACTATAATACTTGAGAAACTAAAATTTGAATAACTAAAATATATAACTATTATATTTTAGAAACTAAAAACATATTTAAGTATAAAAAATATTATAATTATTATCACATCTAGTTTTATATATAAAAGATTTTTTATATGATTAATAAATTTAATTAATTTTTTTTATATCTTTGTCCATTATGTCATAAACTAATCTCACTCACAATACTGTAACTATTCCTAAGATAAAAGGGTTTTTGCACACATTTTTTTCTTTTTAAATTTAGTTAATATTAATATTAAATTTATGATTTAATGTTCATGTATTGCAGGATTAAAAACAATTTACATTGTGAACTAATAAAAGAATTACTATTAATATCACTTTAACGATAATTATTATAAAAGTTAATAAATTTATTATATATGATGATTAAATGATCTTAAAAATTACACTGTAAATGCATAATAGTTTTCTCTTAAATTTATCAATGTTTTTAATAATTAGATTTATCAACGGTCTTATAAAGAAAAGAAAAAAAAGCATAACAAACTTCCCCAAATGTTACAACTTGATAAATTAATCCCTTTCTCTCCCAACTTAGTGTCAAATTCATCCGCATCATGCCAATTTAGTTCCTGAACTTATTAATATAATAATAATTTCACGACAAATTCAGTTCCTAAACTGGTCAACTTCATGTAAAAAGATTAAGTGGTCATATATACCATATTAGATATACTATATATGATTTAAAAACATCTCCTACTCTTAGGTTACTTAAATAGAACATCATGTCAAGTTTTAGCTATTAAGTAAAAAGAGATTATCCAAATTTGAGATACATAATTAAAATAGAATAACAAGATGCTGATGAGATCCTTCCTAGTACAGCATGGCTGCTAACATGGGAACTTTTTAATTTTTCTCCTTAATTGAATAGATCCAGCTAAATCTCGTACATGAAGGCCTAAACTCAAGGGGTACATCACGACCAAACAAATTAACACCAACACCATTAATGCCACCTTTTCATTCATTATTATCAACAACTCACCAAACCTTCAACTTTTAATGGGAATATATATGTAACCATTATTATGCGCTCCAAACTTTGTTCAACCCCATTCATTCATCTCTCTCCTTTTAATTCTTTCATCAACATCATTAATAATAGTTGATTAGGTAGTTTACACAGTACGTACAATTATTGCAACAGGAAAACACATAGAAGGTGCTGTGTTCTTGCAACTTCTGGATCCGACATTGTCCTTGTCGGACCCACATACACATGTTCTTCCTTCTCCCTCTCTTTTGAGTTCTTCATTTTTTGTCCTTATTGCATGGATTGGAGAGGAAGATCATATCCCACCCAACAGATCTCTCATACAACAGGTATTTCTTTGATGTTGTTATTATTTGAGCTATCAAAATATGAATATTCAACATCAATGTCACATCCATGTCTTATGTTCATCTTGTTTTTCACTTTTATTTTTTTATTTGAATTGGCCGGTCTTTCACATCTTAACTTTTCTGGTATGTGAGTTTTACCCATGATGAAGGCATTTCTCTTTGTCTAATAGATTTTTTTTTTATATATTTTTTCCTTTAAAGGTGACTATGAAAACAATTCAACTTTTCTTGATGTATTTTTTAATCAGATATAGTTGTCTCAGATTTTTATGCGGTGTTGTTGTCTTCTTTGTTGTTTGTGAATTCTGCATGTTTTTTTACCTGAGTCATTATCCTGTGTACCAATATATTTGATTCTACCAATGATCTTTTCACATAATATCTTACTTTTTTCCATTCCATTTTGCTTTCTTTCATGTTATATAAAGTATAAACAGCCTTTTACATAATTTTTTTTAAAATTTATATATGATATGATATCATATATTTTCTGTGCAGATGCATTGTACACAAAAATAATAATATTAATATCTTTTATCTTTTGAAGGTTGTTATGATGTCATTTCTCTTTTTCTATTCTTTACATGCCTTTTTGTTTGTCTGGTGTCTCCCTTGAGGATCTTTTTTGCTTTTCTTCAGACTTTTCCATATGTTTGTAAGTGTATTTGCTCTTCCTTTAAGGACACAACTGTAGCTTCCTTGAAACAACCTCACGAGGAAAACCTCTCTGCATCCATGCCTCTCTGTGTACTATAAATTTTTTCTGCTTGTGGCGATCTTCATTGGTTTATCAGTCTTCTTTTTCCAAACTGTTGAACCGTCCTCTTCTTCATTTCCTCCCTACCAAGGTAAAAGCAACCTTCATTTCCTCAAATATGAAAGCTTGTTTTATATTATAGATATGTAATATGTAATATATAATATTTCATGAATTTTTTTTTATTTTGACTCAATTTGAGTTTGAGGTAAAAAACAATTCTAGAATATCATTGCATTTCATATTTGAAATTGTCAAGTAACTTTTTAATTGTTTCCTTGTTCAATTGTTTTTTTTTTCAAAGCTGTAATTTTAGTTGGCCCTTATTTTTGACACCATACTTATTTTCATTCATTTTTGGAGTTAATTTTGTGTTACCAGCGGAAAGACAGGCACTATAGTATCTGCCTGTCTGCATTTTTTATGTATTTTGGTATGACATAAAAGAAGTCTTTGAGGAAGCCACAAATGGAGAGGTTAAATGAAGAGGAAAGTGTTAATATGTGCAGTTAAAGAAAATGTGTATAACAAGAATACTTTGAGTTTTCTTTGTATATATTACAAATTATAGATATAGATGATCTTATTTGTCCACATGATGTAACTTACTAAGTTTTTTTTTTATTTTTTTTTTTATATCCATATAATCGGTGGAAAGTATTTATCAATTTTATTAGTGACTAATCTTCGTCGAAAACCTGATTGAGAATCTTTAGTGGAGTATTCTCTCTCAGTAACATTTTCTTTTATCCACAAGACTTCAACCAAAAACCTTATTTAAAGGTGAGAGCCTAGTTACACTCCACCAACGACTTGTTAGTACCGAATAAAGTTTACTGCTAAAATGTGGCATTGATCGGTTTATATTACAAGTTTACTGTTGAGCATGTTGTACATGGAAAAGTCAGAATTACTGCATTTTACCTTCCCAAGCTTCATTTTGTTTCCAACATTGGTTTGATTTAGTTTCTCTAAAGCTTCCTTTGATATATAAAGTGCAGATTTTGAGGTTCTTACAAAGACAATTCTGAGGCTTTGAAACTTGTATCCCTAACAACATACAATGGGGGGTTGCATATCAGTACATGCTAATGCAATCAAAGCACCAAAGAAGCTCCGCAGACGGATGACAAAACGCCGTCCAAAGATCTCAAATTCTGTTCCTAATGCTATCATCGTGAAGAGGAATAGCAATGCAGGGGCCCGTGTAGCAGATTATTCTGTTAGCGAGTTTGTTCATATGGACTTCGAAAATGGTGCAACTACTACTTGCAGGCGCTCTCAAGTTTCCAATTCAGCATTCCATCTTACTCAGCTTGAATGGCACCACAGTCTATATGATACTGATGCAAACTGTATATTCTTTTTTGACTTCACTATTTTCAGTTTTTATCTTTTGGAACTTTAAGAATGAATTTTTTATTTTATTGCTTGCAGTTGTGAGCCAAGAAGAAACTTTTTTTGACTCAGTCAGTCTTCTGGAATCTGATTCAGATGACGAGTTCAATAGTGTTCATGGAGGTAATGAAGAAGTATCCCCTATTAAGTATTATCATAAACACAATTATTGAACCATGTGTACAGAAATTCTAGGCTCTAGAATAACTATCATTACATTATGTTGAGGCACTAGACCACCCAAGTACAAAATTTCAGTAAACTTCTCCAAAAACACTTTTATGAGAGAAAAATAGGGGAAAAATATGAAATAAGCCTTTTCATAAGCTAAAATTAGCTTATACACAAACTAATTTATTAAAGTTCTCTCCTATTAACTTCTTCAAAATATTATTTTTAACTCATGTATAAGCTAGTTTTAATTTAAAAAGAAACTTATTTCAATTTTTTTTCTATTTTTTTCTCAAAAAATACTTTTGAAGAAGTTTATCCAAACATATCCATATATACTTGATGGTTAATATCATTGTACATATTGAGCCAAAAGTTTCAAGTTATGATAATGACCTACCTGTGTGTGACATCAATTATCATTAATTAGTATAAAGTTCCAATTCCAAATACCCTTTCTTGTCATTGTAGATATTAAAATGGGGGGAAAAAGGTAATAGGCTGTTTAACTCTAGTAACTTTTAGCGCGTGAAACATATGTTACACTGTCTTTATTGTTATCATTATAATTTTGCACCACTTAGATTTTCATTTCTTTCTTTGCTTTCTTACCCTTTTGTTGCAGATTTCTATGCAGATGGTTTTCCAATAGTAACCAGCACAGTTGGAAACATCCCATGTGGTCAATTGGTCCAATATGGAAGATCAACATGTTTTACGGACAAAGGTTGCCAGTATGAAGAATATCATGAACGTTATCTTAAAGTTGATGGAGGCAACCAAGAGAGCTTGAAGGGAAGAGATGAAAGTGGTTTTGGCCTTGTTGGTACACAAGGTTGCGGATTGTCTCGCTTAGGCAAGTCTCAGGGAAGCTTCAAAGGTATAAAAGAATATAAACATGGTTTGGAAGAGAAAACTCAAGAGAATGCACGAAGATCAAGCCTTCAGCGGTTGGCACCTTCTATTAGTTTCAATGATAAAACACCGAATCGACCGAGCAAACGTCTGTCACAGATTTTCAAGCTTTCTTTCAAACGAAGATCTAGTGATGTAGAGGATGCACATGAACTTGGTAAGTGATGAAATACTTCAATTTTCATTGTATGAAAATAAATTTACATAGAACAATTGACATTTTCAAAGACTGCATTGGTTTTGGCTTGCACTTTAAATTACCAATTATAATGTAGCATAACGGAAAGTGTTGAACATAAGTATTATTTTCAAATTCAAAGTAATACTAGTACACCATATAAAGGCAACCTTTTTCATTGCTTGAATCTATGACTATAGTATGCCAGTATGCTACATTTATATATTATGCTGATTAAGCTCCTTAATCTTGTATTTGTATGTAAGGTCAATCAAAAAGATATTTGCTTCGACCCAAAGCAGGGCATATAATTCCATGTCAGAATAAAGAAAAGCTATCTCCTGGATGTTGGTCTGAAATTCCTCCCTCAACATTTCAACTTCGTGGTGAAAGTTATTTCAAGTGTGTTTTTGATCTTTCTTACTTGGATATATATACATACGTACATACATACATACATACATACATACATATAGATAGATAGATAGATAGATAGATAGATAGATAGATATAGATATAAGAAATTTTATATCCATGAAAATATAATTGTTTAATCATTCTCTTTGCAGAGACAAACGCAAGTCTCCTGCACCAAATCATAGTCCCTACATTCCAATTGGAGTTGATCTATTTGTCTGTCGAAGAAAGATACATCATATTGCTCGACATCTTGAGCTTCCAAATGTTAAAACCAATGGGAAAATCCCCCAACTTCTTATTGTAAATATCCAGGTATAGTTCTATTTTCATTAATTCAACATTCATAAAACCTTTTTAGTGCTAGTATCATTAATTCATTATCAAATTATACGAGTGGATACTGTGGATTGGTTTCTCATCCATCTTATTAGTTATCTTATGTGCTTTGTGGCAGTTGCCTACATATCCAGCTGCAATGTTCCTTGGTGATAGTGATGGAGAAGGGATAAGTCTTGTATTATATTTCAAAGTTTCTGAGACTCTTGATGAAAACATTTCTTCCCAGTTTCAGGAAAGCATTATGGTAAATCTATTATCCACTGCTATTTATTTGTCCCTTAAGTTCATTTTAGTCGACTTATGGCACCAAGTTACCATAGACCTTAATCTATATGAAGTAAATAGTATACTGTGTTCTTCATTGCATGCCATTTTGTTTCAATTGGATTTACAGTATTGTTTCCTATACTTTTGACTCTGAGATTTCATTCAAGGTCACATGTCTGGTGTTTGTAGCTTATTGTTCCATGATGTCTATAATCAAATCATGTAATTGATCAAATAAGAATTCTTGGAGGATCTAGAATACAAAATGTTCATTTTGGTGTCCACTTTTAGCCCAGTTCGAAGCATTAATGTTTATGCTGATTATTGCTGCACAAACTTTGTGCCCCGGAGTTCTTCATGACTCATATTTGGAAATGTTGTTAAAATATTTTTTCTTTCTACACATTCAGGGTAACATGTCTTTAAACTGAGCCTGACACAACATATTATATTTTAACGTTTAACAATCAATCAATATATATTAACATGGTTCATGTTTCCTATTTATGCTATAGAGATTAGTTGAGGATGAGGCGGAAAAGGTCAAAGGATTTACCAAAGAATCGAGTGTTGCTTTTAGAGAAAGGCTAAAGATCATGGTAGGACTCGTCAATCCTGAGGATATGTACGTGAGTTCTGCTGAAAAGAAACTAGTAAATGCTTATAATGGAAAACCTGTACTCTCACGCCCACAGCACAACTTTTACAAGGTAAAGCTCATATATGCATGTGTCATCGCAATGATGTTTTCATCACATGCTTAGGGTAGATTTTCTAATAAATGGAACCTATCACTGTTTTTATTCTTTCCAAATTTACATTTCAACACAAAATAGTAAACTTTAAGAAGTGAATGGATGCATATAAACTACAATACTGGTTACTAGCTTTAAAGAGGAATAAAAAGGATTGGCTGATGCTTCATTGGCAACGTATAGTAAAATCAATTTGCTTGTGTGATATATCATAGGCTCGCTAAAGAAGTTTCAAAAAATAAAGTAATCATATTCTAAACATACAATACAAAAAAGTATATCAAAGCATAATTTTATGATGTCTTAAACTTTTTTTCCTGCATAAAATTAGCTTCTGTTATAACATTTCTCCTCATAGGTTATCCTAACATATTTTGTTGCATCTGACAAGGAATTGACTTTTGTTTATTATGCTCCTAATAGGGTCCTAATTACTTTGAGATTGATCTGGACATTCATCGATTCAGCTACATATCAAGAAAAGGACTTGATGCATTTCGAGACCGTTTGAAAGATGGCATTCTTGATTTAGGCCTAACTATTCAGGTATTGTGTCTTGTTTGCATACTTTGGCATTCTTAGATATAGCATTTGGCATCCATTGCCATCAAAATAAAATCTATGATTTTTTAACTTGCTATGACTCCAAATAACCAACCTTTTCTTCAGTAGGTTTCAATTCAAAACACAAACCATCAACCCTTCCTAGCCTCTGCTATGATAAGCACATAAATTCCTATGCTCACGGCTTCACAAAGCCATATATCATGTTGTTTCTCAGTCATTCTAAGCAGAAATTTTTTACCAAATCAGGATGTTAATAATACAACATGCATGACGAATTGAAGATCAAGTTTTAAAAGAACATGGATGCTCTATTTTGAGATAATGCAACTTTTTTTTTCCAGTATTATTTAGTTGGTCTTCAACTGAGATTGACCATCTCTCTATATTTCTGACAACAGGCACAGAAACAAGAAGAGCTTCCGGAGAAAGTATTGTGCTGCCTTAGATTGAACAAGATTGATCTTAGTGACAATGGTCAAATACCCATGTTAATGACTCTTGATGGTGAATGCTAAGGGTTTTCAGTGAATTGGAGGGAATAGCATTCAGAAAAATAAACAATTATATGTATGTATTAGTTAACTTTGTATATTTCCATGGCTGAGGAAGAGTGGCAGTTAAGGTGTTTAACTTGGATGCAACTCATGCAGTCATGTATTTTCTGTTCAGATGTACATTCAGAGGATCATAAATTTAGTAGATTATTAACATGCATTGCCAAATGACATGAAAGGTACAAGTGTTTCTTTATTAACTATTGTAACCTGTAACCAAGTGAAAGGAATATTGTATTATTGAGTTGACAAATGGTGCCAATAGATGTTTCTTTCCCTTCATTATGACCTTAATTTTGTTGTTTTTGCTTGTGCAAGACATTGCTTAAATGTCATGGCACTGAAGATTGACTTAGATTCATTTTACCACATGAGAAATTGTGTGGCGTGAAAACATTAGTGTTACTTCTGAGTTTTTTTGGTTGTTTGTTATGTATTGTGCCGAGTCAAGAACACAGCGAGTTTGATAAGATAGCAAATCAGTATATCTTCATTGTGGTCCTCGCAAGCAACATAGGTTCCAAATTCCTAGGAAATCGAGGAGAAGTCACGAAAGTAGATAGAGATGAAACCAGTTGATGAGAAAAAGTAGTCCACTCAAGGGTTGACATAGATTTAAAATGAAATGTATTGAGAAATAAATAAAACATTGTGATTGACAAAAGGAAATATAAAATGCTAAGCTAGTAAAATGCGTGGTTAGATACAAAAAATAGTTCACTAAGGTATTCAGTTACTCTTCTATCATAAAAATCCAAGTCTCTGTTCAAACGTTATCTGCCAAATTAAATAGGCTTCAGGCCTAATAAAATGGAGACTTTAGTAATCAACATTAAAACAATCATAACGTGTCATTTCTATAAGCTATGCAATTCTTAAGTGAAAAGTGGTATTTTATTATCGGAATTATTTTTAGCAGAGCTCCTCCAAATATCTCCAAGATTTGAAATTTTTATACTATTTATGAACGACTGTTGCACACACTATTGAATTTGGAGCTATTACACATAGTTTATTAGATATGAAACCTATGCTATGATATTAACAGTTTAACACACAAGCAATTTTGTTAGCATTATCTTTTGCCGTGTCAACATTTTAACTGCATTATTACGTCGTGTTTGTAAAAAAAATACCAACCGCACAAACCATTTTCAAAGAACATGGTCGAATTAATTTTTTTTTTTTATAATGCCTATAAAACAAATGCTTAAAAACTTGGTACCCAACTTGTAAAACTCCATCAACGTCATGACCGAAAACTTAAAACATTACTTAATAAAAAGGTTGAGTTAGGAAAAAAAATAGACCTTTGCTACAACTTAGATATTTTAATGTTAGAATAATTAAAATAGTAAAATACAAGATGTGATTCCCCCAGTTTTTGAACTCGAAGACAGAGTCAGAAGCTATTGAAAGAAAATCTTGCGTGTAAAGCAATATGATCAACATCATCATCTTCCGAAGTTCCAACTATAAGAAATGAAATGCTCCAATTTTCTAACCTCATTCATACCTATCTTCAACATCCTCTCCAAAAGGCACATACTTATCTCACTCTCACATTCACTCACTAGCCACCTTTATGTTTAGAGAACTCTCACTTTGGAGAATAGTCAAGTCAACCATTACTCTTCTCCACAAAAGTCTACTAAAAGTGGAGCTTTTGGTTTTGTTTTTTTCAAAACTAAGGTATGTTGTAACGCACTCTTCTCTCACTGCTTTTCCACGATGCATGGTTGAACAAATTTGGAGTTGTTGGGTCTCTGTCTTTGTTTCTTCTTGTTGCCTTGTTATAAACTTGGTAGTCTATGAAAATTGTAACGCCCTTGATTAATTATTGATTTAATTACATATTTTCATTTCACATATTCACAAATTTTGCCACTCAACTTTTGAATTTACACATGCCATCAAATTTTTTAAGTCTTGCCTTTTTGTCACTATGTTAATCAATCATATGACACGTTAGTTGATCATTAATATAACATGTTGACTATTGACATTGTAAATTGTATCGTCATCTATGTCATGAGGGTTAACCCCAAGGGTTAGAAAAAGGGACAAGTGTCCTAAGCCCATCAGTAGCATATATCCAAAAATGAAAATACAGTTATAATTTTTCAAACAAAAAATTACTCTTTTAATGTTAATTTTTAGTTTTTCCTCTCTTGTTTAATTTTTAATTAATTAACCACAAATTCTAAACTTTTAGCAGATTAAACATTTAGTTTTTTCATAAAACATTAAAAAAACTTTTGTCATTTTCTAAATTTGTGATAACAAATACAATTTATATATATATATATATATAAAAGATATAAAACTTAAAAGAGTATTACACTTTTAACGTATTCAATTATAAGAAACCTTTATAATAAATTGTGTATTTTGTTTTATAGATGATGAACACCACAACAATTTTAGAGAAGTGATGATTAAAAAAATTAATGCATATTTTAAAGATTTTTTAAATTTTTGTTCATACCGTGTCAAAAAAAATGTATATTTAAATTTGAAGTATTTATATATAGAGTTAATTACTTATATACTGTCAGTGTAAAGTTTTTTTTACACTGGCAACCAATCAGATCGGTTAATAGTGTCATGACATTTGCTCATTTAATTAAATTAAAATAAAAAAGACACTATTAACAGATCTGATTGGTGTCAGTGTAAAAAAACTTTACACTGACAGTGTATAGGTGATTAACTCTTATATATAAGGAGTCCTTATCTATTATATCACTTTAGACCCACAAAATGTTAGAACCAACCTTATATTATGTCATGCTTGATGGAATTATTTGTCTGAAGGGATATTTTATAAGGTTTATAACTTTGTTATTTTTTTATAAGATTATTTCACACACAATTTCACAATAATGAGATATTGTTCACTTTGAGTTTAAATTCTTATGATTTTGCTTTTGATTGTCATTCAAAGGTCTCTCAATCATTAAAATATATATGTATTTTATAAACTATATTTCTTCTCTTATTTTATAAGATGTGGAACCTTATTTATATCCTAACAATGTCAACCATCAATGTTTCACATTAATAATTAACTTAACAAGTCAATGGCTAATCCAATATGTGAGCAAGCAACTTTTGATGTCAGAGTTGATTAAAAAAATGACAAAATATGTGAAATTTTAAAATTTACATAACAAAATTCGTGAAACTTAAGTGACAAAATATGGAATTAAGTCTTAATTATAAGTTCCATTAAATAGAAATGTTCATTCTCTACCTTTAGGTACTAGATGATGGGGTTATTATATTGGTATTTTTCTGAGGGGATATATATTTTATGATTGTTATTTTTATAAGGTTATTATACAACATATTCCACAATAATGAGATATTGTCTGCTTTGGGCTTAAGCTCTCACGGTTTTGCTTTTGGTCATCACCCAAAAGGCCTCTCAATCATTGAAGTATGTTTATGCTATATAAGTTATTATTTTTTTATCATATTTTATCGATGTGGAACTTGTTTGTATCCTAATACTAGATATTAATTAGTAGGTCTATGAGCTTCATTCAAAATCCAGGGAAAAATACATACAGAATCCTTTCGGTAATAAGAATTATAATCTTAGCCAATGTTAAGATGTACACGAATTTATGGCTTAAGTAAAATGAAGACAAAGAAAACTTTTGAAGAGATACAAGTCCATGGCACTTATTGATTTCATTTTTTTATAACTGATTACATTAGGCTTAGATTATACTCATTGTTTAAAAAGCCTTTTTCTCCCCGAGGTCCATCTATTTGTTTGGATTATAGATAATTTTGTGCCTATGTCTAACGTAACCAAACACAATGCATTCCAAAACTAATTTCAAGTGAGGTGCACTTGACAATCAACATTGTGCAGGGCCTGACACATGATAAACTCTTCCCATAAAAGAGGAATGTTAACGATACTCTCTAATACTCCCTTTCAAACAGTCACTATTATTGACCAAAGTCGATTAGAAATTAGGAATTTTGGTAAGTCTTACTACTAAATTAGAAGATAGATACCATAGAAAGAATTGGAGGATGGCTTGGACATCTCAGGAAAGTCTAATGCATTTTAAATATGAAGTCAAATGAAAGTTCTAACCACATAAACAGACCAAGTTACATTCTTTGCATAAATTTTATTATAATTAAGGAAACTTTACCACCACAAATAGACCAAACTGCAATAGATGATCATCAAAATCTCAATCATACTACAATAGTAAAAGCGTGTCTATACACTATAGATTCTGAAATGAATAATAATAGCCTTATAGTAATTGATCTTTGGTAAATAGTCACAACTCCTCTTACATAGGTTAGTTTGGCTCAATTTGGTCTCTTATGTAATTGAAGCCATTATGAAAGAACAAGAGTTATCTCAGATATTGGATCATGCTTCTCAGTTCACATAAAGAAGTCTTCAAGAAAGTTGTTAGAATTCAATTATATGGACATCTTAACAGAGTAAGCAAAATGGTGTTTTAACTTGATGTGGCATATACATGAGTAGTTGATTACTATAATGATAAGGAATCAAGATCCACCAGTTTTTACACACACACACACTTCAAGGGTGTGAAGCAAGTAAATGTGTACAAAAACAAAATAGTTATTAAAGATTATAGACAATATCTCTGTAGCTAGACAGCAGTATGTTAGACACAGATATTTAACAGCAGTTTTTTTTTTATCCATATATTTAACATCAGTTTAAAACTTTGTCCACCACATAAAATTGCTATTGACAGCCACAGAATTTGGTGGCAGAAAACAGAATTTGGACAGCAAGCAGAATTCTTGGCAACAACCAGTGTTTTGGATAACGGCCAGAAATTCTTGAAGCAAACCAAATTTAGACAGTAAGCAGAATTCTGGGCCATCAACAAGGATTTTTGGATAGCACAAAGAAATGTTGACAGCAAACAGAATTTAAACCACAAGCAACATTCTAGACAGCAACCAGAATTTTGGACAAGCAGCAAAAATTCTGACAGGAAACGCAATTTAAATAGCAAGGCTATCTATCAAAAATATGGCAAAACTTGCCCCTCTTGAGGAGGCCCTTTTGAATGGTGAGTCTTGTGTAAGCAACAGTTCTGATCCCTGTAAGACCAAAGGAAATAAAAGTTTAACCTGCTATTCAAATGCTGGATTTTTCAGCATTCTTTCTTTCTCATGGATCAGTCCACTAATACATCTTGGCAATGTGAAGACTTTAGATCATGAGGACCTCCCAATGCTTGCCGCTGATGACAGTGCCTACG